ACACTTTTATCTTCGGAGCATTGAAAGTACAACTAGAATAAAACCCAGCTCTGAAAGGCAAACCTCACAGTGTTAGAGATTATTGGCCCAATATTTCATTGAAGGTGACACGAACAATCCCTTCCTTGACCTTAGAGTCATTTTGCTCTTTGCCGCTCTAATCAGCAGCTGCTCTACCCTGGAACGCCCACGGCTCCGGCTCCAAAGGCTGCCACAGCCTGACTGGCAGGAAACGGGGATATTTTTCCTCCCTGGCCGGCTCATCTGCTTTCAGTGGTGCTTTCACAGCATTTCAGTGCCAAGAAATCTGTCTTCCTATTACTTTGAAGGAATTCCTGAACTCTGGGGAGCCAGTGAGGGTGAGACTCGATAGCTGAGGCTGCCCTGGTGTCCTCCGCGCCCCCCGGGAATGCTGTGGATGGGCTGTACTGCAGGAACCCCCCGGGAATGCTGTGGATGGGCTGTACTGCAGGAACCCCCGGGAATGCTGTGGATGGGCTGTACTGCAGGAACCCCCCGGGAATGCTGTGGATGGGCTGTACTGCAGGAACCCCCCGGGAATGCTGTGGATGGGCTGTACTGCAGGAACCCCCCGGGAATGCTGTGGATGGGCTGTACTGCAGGAACCCCCGGGAATGCTGTGGATGGGCTGTACTGCAGGAACCCCCGTGTCGCTCCTGTGTTACAGACGGGGCTGGTTTTATTTAGTAGGTGCTGTTGTAGCAAATCAGTCTGAGGAAAAATGACAAAGTGGAATTGTGAAAAGCTGGGGAGCCCTGAGTACTGACCCCCCAGCGTCTTCCTTTGCGGCTTTTCTGTTGGGATGGGGGCAATATAAGAGGAGGATTTTGAAGTAAATTCTCGTTTCTTTCTGGTCACGTGAGACCAGAACAAGAGTCTAAAGGGCCACCACTCGCCCTCCTGCCACAAAGGGGTGAACAATCCCAAGTACAGACAGGCATTCTCTCCATCCAGACTTGGTTAATAGTTCTCCAGTGTAATATAGCTTGACTTCTGCCTTGGTAAGGAGGTAAATGCTGTAGCAAAAGATAATTACTGTTCAAAGCTCCTGCCAAACATCATGTGCTGGAATCAGAAATAAGTACACCCTCTACACGTTACAGCGTGGTGTCTTGTCTTGAAAAAAATCCTTGTCCCGCTGTTTGCTTTAATCCCAACTGTGCACCATGTTCCTCTTTGTTTTTTATGTCTCAGCAAACTTTGTGGTAGTGGATGAGGAAGGTTTCAGCCATGACTCATGGCATACTGTTCATTTTCTCTTCTTGCTTTGGTGCTTTCTGCTGTGACATTGCTGGAAGCAATTTTACTCAATGAAAGATGAAATTCTGGAGAAAACTCTGTGGTGAGGTATGAGCGCGTCTCCCAGACTTACAGTCATTGCTAGCAATTTTTTGAGCAGTAATGCCGAGCCTAGTTTGAATTCAGACTGATAAAAAAATGTTCTGGGGCAATCCTTGCCCCTTCCTGGAATTAATGACAGTATCTGAGACAATCAGTTAAACATTGTCTGGCTGTTCTGAGTGAGGTGAGGAACATGAGGGGAGAGTCAGACAACTACAGAAAAGACAGAAATAATCCTGCTATGAAAGACATACAAATAGAAAATGTAGAATGAGAAAGGGGAGGGCATGGCAGCAGCTGCTGAGAAACCAGTGCAATTGAGGTAAGAAATAGTAGTGGAAATCCTACATCCCCAGATTTGTGAAAACATCAGAGTCATTATGAAATCCCAGATAGCATCAGGAAACTAGTTACACCCAAATGTACAGGAAACTTGTCAACAAGTGAGAAAGTGCTCTGTATCAAAGGATACACAGGGTTTTCCTTTTACATACTGGAAGCAATTTCTTCATCTACCTGATGGGAGAAGCACTCCAGTGCTAGACAGAGCCTGTCCCTGATGTCTGTGTCTGACATCCTAAAAATTTATTCTTAACCTACCCAGATATGTTGCAAGTGCCTTTGAGCTAGAGCTTCAGTACTGAGCCCAGGGCTCTCCCAAGTTCCTGACTTTGGGTCACGGTGGGACCTGTACCTGCACCAGCCTCTTCCTCTGCTCCACTTTCCACAGCAGGAAAACCGGGGAGAGAGGGTAAGGCAGGAGCCTCGGTGTGCCCTGAACAAGTTACCAATCTGAATGCCCAGTAAAGAAGCCCCAGGGATTGCCATGGCCCTCTGCTCCCCCAGCCAGGTAGGGCTGACACATCCCTATGTTGTCCCTTTGTCAAACACGAAATTACTATGTCTCGTGATAACAAATCCATTCGACCTGGTCAGAGCTGAAGGAGTTTATTGTAAAATTGTTCTGGGCAGCAAAGAACTCTCGAGGGTTTTAATGAAAAACTAACTGCTAAATATTGAGAGATGAGTAACCACACTGGCCCTGGTTCAATACTAAATCCCTGTTGTAGGAGGCATCCAAGAGGACCAGTATTTGAACAGATGCCAATTCCACAACTAAGGCATGTGTTTCACACCCTGGAAAACACAGCTGGCAAGTGGGTTCTCAGCTTTTGCACTTCCCTTTCTTCCTTGATGCTGCTTCTCCCCATCTCACCGTCAAAACATTCTCTTCTTTTTAGCAGAGACAGGAAAGGTGAACACACGCATTCAGGTAACAAGGAGGGTAAACTGGCGTCAAGGATGAAAGTGTGCAAGTGCTCTGGTTACTGCTAAAGAAAGGGACTTTCTGGAAAGTGTAGAAAAAAATCAAGTAGTATTATTGAGGCATATTCAGGAAGTATATTTTGAAAAAAAAAAAATTTACTTCAACACAGTAAAGAGCAGCACTATGAAAATACCCAGTAAAATTAGAAGGCAACCCCCTCCCCCCCCCCGACAAACCCAAACCACACTAACTCTTGAAACATTAAAAGTTTCTAAGCCATTATCTAAAAAATCTAACAAAACAACGGCGGGGGTGGGGTGGGATGGGCTAAACTTCATGAACAAAGGGGATTTAAATTTGGATTACAAATCAAAATTCGGCAAAAGGCTTTAAGAATTTCTAAAATATGACAGATGCACAGAGTATCCCATCAAATCACAGGAGAAGAAATGACCTAACCCAAAAATGCTTTTACAGAGGCTTTCAGCATTCCTGAAATATTTTTTTCTGGCTCAACACAACCAAAGTTTACAGCTGGTCTTCCACGAATTTGTTGGTGTTGGAAATCGAATACTAAAGACAGAAAAAGTTCACTCTGAGTGCACGGCTCGATGCTCAGGGGCGGTTTTTTTTGGTGTGCCCGGGGGAAGACAGCGTTGTTAGGAGATGATCCGGACTGCGCGGGGGCAGGAGCTGGGGCAGGGACAGGGGCTGGGCCTGGAGCCGGCCCAGCAGCAGTTACAGTTCGTAGACAGGCGCCAAAATTCAAAACACGCACTGTACTCGCTGCAAAGCCCGAGCGCGGCTCGACAAAGAGCAGCGGGCGGATGGGGCAGAAGCCGAGCTCTCCGCAGCAGCGGCCACAGCACCCTGGGATTTGTAGTCTCTTGTCGCTCTTTCCTTTTCCAGATCAAGTGCTCGAGCTCGGGCAGAAGGCTGAGTTTCACGCCAAGGTGCTCATCATATCATCAGAGCTCACTGGCAGAGCCCTGCCAGCAGCGACCTCACGCAGGGAGGTTGCGGACATGCCTTCAGAAAGGGCTCGGGGAGTGATTCCGCTTCCATTTTAGCTCCCCCTCATAAACTCCCTCCAGGTAACCCACTGACACCCACGGCTCCACAGGCTGCTGTGGGAATCCCTGTCCTCGCTCTCGGTAGGTGAAGGGGCAGTCAGTGCTGTCCCAGAGAGGTGGGACAGGCACTCTGCTGGACGCAGAGGAGCCAGGACAACTCTTTCTGTGTTGGATGCACATTTTGACACAAATGCATTCAGGTGAAAACCTGTGATTTTACCCTAAAGATACGCAGTGATTGCAAGAGAGACTTAGAGCTATTTGACAACAAGGGTATTGAGCATCCCAAATTCCTGGATTTATTCTGAGATTTTTCAGTTTGAAGTGTACTTGATATTAGAATCTCAAATCCTCTAACATGAGCATTGTTTTAGTTCTGTTTTAAGGACAAAAGTCTACTTTCTCATCCTGGCTTCCTAAGTTTCTTTTCACATCATATACAGTATTACCTTGCTGTCTTTCCTGTTTCTCTATCCAGACCTGTCCTCTCACCTTTGCATCATGCTCATTTTACTTTTTCTCTTTAGTGTGTTGTATTTAGTACTTCTCAGGCAGAAAATTTCCCTTTTCTCAGCCTTTCCTGGTAGCTAAAAGGCCCAAGGGCAGGAAGAGCTTTGGGAATGCTAGTTAACGTGCAAGAATTGACAGAGTTTGGGGTCTTTGGGGACAATACTACTCTAAATCTTTGAGAAGGGAAAACTTCTCAGTGGCTTTTAATGTGTACGCAGTTTGGCTGAATTCCCTGGGACTGCAAAAGGATTTCAGGATAGCTTCCTTCTGGAACGGCTGGACAGGGAGGCACTGCACCCTCTCAGTAAATCTAAGAAGTAGTTACTGAATTCCTGAAACCGACAAATCAGCACTCCTATAAACTCGCCCTTGGGAAATGCTGATCCGTGTTTTCTCCAAAACTGTCCACCCCCAATTTCAGCACACAGCCGGTCCCTGTCCCGTGCAGACCCAACAGCAGAGCACGGCAAGCTCACACAGCCCACACGAGGTTGTGGACGATGTTTTAGGGAACTACCGTGAAAACACACAAACACAACCTGTCAGGGAGCCCGTCACCCCACAGGCCTGAGCCCCACGGGTGGACCCTGGCACCGGCTCCAGAGGGAGCAGAGCCGGGTGAGGCTCAGATCTGTCCTGCCAGTTGCTCCGGTCCCTCCCGGCATTGCCACCCAAACCTCTTCCCCTCAGGATCGGCCCCGCTCCCGGGCCTGTCCTCGAGCCCCGACCGGAGCCGCCCCTGCGGCCGCTGAGCGGGCGCAAAATGGCGGTGGCGGCTGCGGCCCCGCGGCCATCTTGGCGCCAAGACTGCATGTCCCAGGCGGCGCCGCGGCGGGAGGGGCCGCCCGCCCGCCATCTTAGCGCTCCCTCCCCCGGTGCGGCGGGATTGAATGAGCCGCTGCCCGCCCGCCCGCCAGCCCAGCGCCATGTCAGGCACCCCGAGCCGCGGCACCCCCGGCGGGACCCCGCTGTCGCCGACCCGCATCTCCCGGCTGCAGGAGAAGGAGGAGCTGCGGCAGCTCAATGACCGCCTGGCCGTTTACATCGACCGCGTGCGGGCGCTGGAGCTGGAAAACGACCGGCTGCTCCTCAAGATCTCGGAGAAGGAGGAGGTCACCACCCGGGAGGTACGGTGGGGGGTGAGGGCAAGCAGCGGCGGCCCCTGGGGCGCTCCCCGCGCTCCGTCCCGGGGCAGGTCGGCGGCCCTGGCCGTTCCCGCCCGTTCCCGCCCGCGGCTGTGGCGGCTCCTCCGTGTGGCGGCTCCTCCGCGCGGCCGCCGCGCCATTCGCGTCCCGCCGGGCGGGGAGCGGGGGCTGTGCACACCCAGCTCCTGCCCGCGCGGGCCCTCGCGGCCTCTTTCACCGCGGTGTGGGGCCGAGGGATCGCTGATGGCCCGTCTGAGGCAGCTCGAGCCGGGATTCGGTGGCGGGAGCGGGGCTGCAGCGGGCGGGGCCCGGCCGGCGCCGCGGTCGGTCCGAGCCCTCCGGTGCCCCGTAAGCAGCACACGCGTCCCGCCCCGGCACTGCGGCGTTGGGTGTCCTGTCCTGACCACTGATGCGATGGGACGGGAGATTTGAAAGCGTTTAGACTGACTTTGCTTCTCACGAGAGGAAATCTTTCACAGACCCCCATAAATGGTCGGAATCAAATCCTTGCAAACGACTCTGATTTGCTTCCTGTGATCTCGGAGGCAAAACTCAGTGATCCCTTTTCCGAAGCCATGCTTTGCGTTCCCCTATTCTGTGTTGTCTGCTTCCCCCCAGCACTCTCGTTCCCCCGTGGAGGAAGGATGTAGTTGGTGACACACTGGGGACAGTCCCACCCATCCTGTGCCAGCCCAGAGCCCCTCAGCGAGGTGCGGGGTCCCACCGCTGAGCTGAAGTTAAAATGCTGTGGAAAGCCTGTCACTAAACGAACAGCCTGTGCTGTACTGCTGGGGTGTGATGGATTGCTATGCCACTGTGTAGGCTTTTTACATTTTTTTTTCTTTTTGCTTCTTTCACCCTTTAAGAGTCTGGTTTAATGAGGCTCAGGGTGGCGGGAGGAGGGTTTAGATTAGGTTAGTTTAAGCAGACCAGGTATGATAATGTCTTGTTTGGGGAGTGGTTGGTGTACCTGCAATCACTGTGTGCCCGAGACTGAAGTACTTTTAAAGTCCCTTTATATCACTTAATGATATATTGTAACATCTAGGTTTTCAGAATAACTAGATATTTCTAAACATGAAACATTGCTATGTTTACTCCGTGTGAAATCGTGCTGTAAACAGAATAACCACATCTAGTTCAAGGAACTTCTATGCTTTAGATCCCTGCAGACTAAAAGGAGTATTCATTTGAAATGCAAGAGGCAGAATGTAATTCTGTTGACAGCACACGTGTAGCAGGAGTAGGACAAGCAGACAACGTAGATATAATCTCATTAGACTTTAATCTGAACATAAAGGAACTCCTAATAGCAGTTCTGTGTGCTGTCCATTCTGGAAAAGTATTCTGATGCTGCAATTGGAAAATAAATTTGAGAATTTTGATTCTTTTGGAATCTTTTGGTTACTTTGGCCTTGAGTTTTTTTCATCCAGACTTCAAAAAGGTCTTATATATATATTATAACAAAGTTTGTCAGGATTCATCAAACTCTTCTTTGACACTGATGCTTCACCTCCTCTCTGGGCCACCTTTGTTAAATACTTTCCTCATCCCTTTTGGAAGTTCTATTTATTCTTTACATACACTCACAAAAGGAAACTTTGTAGTTTTATTGTTTTAATGCTGGATAGTGCACAATGGTTTAGGACTGTGGGAGCAGTAAAATTTCAGATGGCTGTCAGATTTTGGTTTTACTGGAATGGGAGAACCTTGTCCTTTCATTTTTGTGACCAATGTAGTAAACTGGATTTTCTGCTGACAATTCAGTTTCCTTATTAGCTGTTGGAATTTTCATTCATAAAATGATTAGGCTTAGTGCCAAATAAGATGTTAATTAAAAATAAACCCTTCAAACGCCACAAAACCCAAACAAACCCCAAAGCAACTTCTGTGTAGAAGCACAGTTAAACATAGTCCAGTGATACCAGCATACTGTTCTGTCTACATCATTATATCTTTATATTAGCTCTACATGCTTGTAAGAGACTATTTTCTTTTTTCAGGGTGTTCACGATGAAAATTGGTAGGCCTAAACTGTGTGTAAATTTGACTCTGATCTTATTTATTTATTTATTTATAAAAGCTGAATGAATGTTCTGTTATTTTTGGTGTTTCTTTGGTAATGGCAGAAAACATCCTCTGTCACTGTGGCAGATGCACGTTGTGGGATGCAGGCAGGAGGGACTGCTCTCCAGTGTTAACACCAGAGGCTTTTACCTTGAGAGCAGATGGGTTCATGATCCAAGGTGAATATCCCAAAGCTGAGGATGGCTGTGGCAAGCGGTGGACTGGAGCAAGGTCTCATGAGACAGATGCTTGTCCTTTGCTTGTCACTCCAGTATCCCACAGTGACCACACCTGAGCTGGGTGAGACCATTACTGACTGACATGACCTGGCATGTCCTGAGTAATGGATGACCCTGACATTCCCTGCCCCCACCCTGCATGTGTGGGAACAGTTTTGATCTTGTTCTCAAACCTCTGGTTTAGGGTAATATCTTCTAGATGAAAGAAGTTCTGCTGATGCTGTTCAGGCAAGGACTATAGCCATTGTTCTGCCAGAGACTCTTTAATCATCAGGTGATCAGGATGTTCTTTTTCCTTGTTGTTTTAATCACCAGTTTGTGGAATATTGCAGAAAACAGCCTCTATGTGGCAATCTTGGCATGGCTTTAGAAGGAAATCACTCCTGTTGCGCTTTTTGAGGAACACGGGTCTGCCATCTCTTAACAGCAGAGAAAAGGAACTTTGCAGTTGATTAATATTTAGTTCTTTGCCAATTATAGCCCTTTCCCCTGCTTTTCCTAAGCCTGTCCTGTGGTGCTTTACCTTTACTTGTATGCAGGAGGCCTTTAGAGAAATAAGAAATGTGCACAGTAAACCTTCAGACAAATGGGCTGGTACAGAAGAGAGTTCGCAGATTGTGGTAGAGCTTGGTGCCAGTAACACCAGCTTGTGGGTTCAATCCCCTATGGGCCAGTCACTTAGAAGTTGGACTCTGTGATCCTTACTGGTCCTTTCCACCTCCGAATATTCTGGGATTCTGTGAAATGCAAAAAAAAAAAAAATTTGCCTGTGTAGGTGGGGGAACATCTAATTGTCCTCGTTCTGTCTCTGTTCTCCTGCATCAGTCCCCTCATGTAGCTTAGCCTGTGACACAGAAGAAATTGAGCTCATCCCGTTGGATTTTTTCCTGCCTCCCTAGTACATGACTGATGTGTTCTCACTGTGTTGGGGGTCACTGTTCCAATAACCCAATTTGTGAGTCTCTGTGGGGGAACAGTGGAAGGGCTAAGAGGAGAGTCCTAGAAGTCTCCTCAGTCCTTTTTTACTAACTCCCTGCCCTCCCCTGCAGTGCTTATGGTTGCAGCCTTACAGAACAGATGTTTTGATGGGCACAGGAGGGATTACTGCACTGTTCTGAGGACACCCTACTGTGCTCACCCTCTGAAAGGAGAATTACAGAGGAAAATAAGAGAAGATCCCTGGGAGCCTCAGCCACTGACAGCAATTGCCTTTGTGACAAAAGCAGTGTCTGGGGGTTCCCTCTTCACCTGTGTCTTCCCAGCTGTGTGGATCCGAGTGCAGGTGGCTGCAGTCTTACCTGGTTTCCACTTATCTGCCAGCCCTGGAGCTGCTGTGCCCTTTGTGTACACCAGAGCTCCTGTCATGACCAGGGTACGTGGGTCTGGTGCTGCCTATTTGCCACCTGCAAAATACATGTTCAGATGCTGTTGTGGGTGTTGGGTCACTCAAGCTGTAGCCTCCAAAGTCGTGGATTAAGTGATCTTCTGGCACTATAGACATCATCTGGGAGGTGACACAACACACACATCATCATTGTTCTTGAGAACTTCACTGGTGTTTTTGGTGAGTCTGAACCATAGCTGACTGGCAGTCCTTTGTCAATCCATAACTGAGTAAATAACATATTGAGCTGCACCAGGGAATACACTTGTGTTTTGCACATTAATGCATGCTAATGAGATTAATATTGCATCACCAGATTTGGCTGGAGCATGTTTCTTGTCTAGTATGTTGGTTCTGTTCCTTCTTGATGTGTTTCACGTCTTCACTGAGTGACATCTTGTGGCTATTCTCAAGTGGTTGCTGTGGAAGGGTCTGTGTTGGTGTGTCTGCCCTTGATCCACAGCCCAGTGAGCTTTGTTGAGTGCTCCCAGCACGGACTGGTAAACAAGAGCACCCAGCAGTCGTGTCTTTCAGAGTCTGCTGTGGAAACATCTCAGTTGTCTTTTTTCTATTCCCTTGTTCCCTGTGTTGCCCAGTTACAAATTTGCAGGCTCTTTGGCCAGCAAAAGAAGAGAAAGTGAAAGCTCATTTGTGCAATTTCCAGTGTGTCCAGCTTGGCCTCTGTGCAGGAAGTGTTATGCTTGTGTGTACATGGACGTGCAGTGGCTTGTGCTGTAGCCTGTCCGTCTGGTTCTTTCTGAACTCTGGTTTGAGCTTTTAGCTTTATTTCTCCCATCACCTTCAGATGGGAGTTATATTTTCATAGTGGAGGGACCCATTTTTTGGCCTAACCTGTCATCAGGGAGGGATTATTTGCTGCTTCTAAGGGGTTTGTATTGTGGACATCGTAGAGAGGCTGCTGAGCCTCACTTGACAGTATGAATTTTGTCCCTTCTGCTCCTCCACAGAGGCACCAGTGATAGTGGTGGGAGGGACCTGAGAAGTATCAAACATGACTACATGGCTGTGGGTGATTTTCAGTGGTGTGGGGAGAGTGAAGAGCTTGGCTGAGCAGATCCTGCAGACCAAGACTGGATTGCACAACTGCTGTTGGCAGCAGGGTTTTGGATTCTACAGCAAATCCCAAGCACAAACAGAGGCTGGGTGGAGAATGGATAGAGAGCAGCCCTGGGGAGAAGGACTTGGGCGTGTTGGTGGGTAAGAAGCTCCAGGCACCCCATCCATGTGCTCTGGTACCCAGAAACCCCCCGTGCCCTGGGCTGGTCCCACA